TGCACCCTATTTTCGTATTTTACAGCCCCCCCCCACACTTTCCAATTGGGTTCGCAACCACACATTTTTTTCACGGTCCCGAATATTCTAATATCCTAATAATTTTATCCTGCAGTTTTATAACACCATGAAATCTGTAAAGTGAGACTATTTCTATCAAACAAAAGAAAATATTACGCACCAAACGCACTTTGAGCATCTCATTAAGCGCTATTATCGGGAATTTTATTTAGGCAAATCGGTGCCATCTGGTAGCAGAGAATTATGTATTTGATGGTATTGCATTTCTGTATAAAACTAGGGGGGCAGACGGCTCACCAGTCGACCAAGACTAAGAATGATCGGTGATGTAGAGTAGGACTTAACCAGCTGGGAGTCCGCGCATGGAGGCGGAAAGGCATGGATCGATCAGAATGGAAGGATGTGGCAGAGCAGCTCAGGGCCCTTCAGGGGCTGTAGCGCTACTGATGATTATGTCTGGTCTGGATGGAAGGTTGTGGAAGAGAAGGGCAGGGCCCTTCAGGGGCTGTAGCGCTACTGATTATGATGTCTGGTCTGGATGGAAGGATGTGGCAGAGCAGGCCAGGGCCCTACAGGGGCTGTAGCGCCACTGACGATGACTATACTGTGATAATAGTATTGCATGTCTACCTCACACATTAATTTTAATCATGTCTTTAAAATCTGATTTCTTGACTTCAGGCTATTTATTAGATTAGATGGCTGACTTGAGGTGGTTTACCTTTAAAACGGGACGCTACTTTCAGTGCTATTCCACTTTCTTCAATTGATGTTTTCAAACGATATGTCCTGATGGCTAAAATAAAACCAATCAATGGTTCATTTGTAAATCTCAGTACCGATACTGTTCGAATATTTGACACTCTTTGTACTGAAACTGATCAGCATATGTTTAAAAATCTTTGAAGGCATTTCGACTCATCTGTATTGATTATATGAGATTTTCTCATGCTTACAATTTTAAGGACTTTAATTAGACGTAGAGGCGAAAACACTGTATTTTCTTTTAGGACTTTCTCTAATTGTGCATGCATATTCATCAAAAACTTGAACACAACAGTGACCAGGAACACTAAATTTAATGTTGACCGACTAAGGGTGTACATGAGCGTTCCAAAAAAAAAAAGGAAAGATAAACTGCAATAAAATTATGATATTTGCTATTTTTATACTGTAGTACACATGAATCACCCCATGTTATAATGTTTTTAATGTTCCTATCTGATTCAAATTCAATTACTCTTTCTAAAATTCTAGCAGCAGCTGAGGCAATGAACTTGCCTGCTTTCCCAGATAAACTCTCTGAGACAATGTCATTGCCTGAATTTCCAGATAAGCTCCCCGAAGCAATGTCATTGCCTGCTTTCCCAGATAAGCTCTCTGAAGCAACGTCAATGCCTGAATTGCCAGATAAGCTCTCTGTAGCAATGTCAGTTTCTGAAATGCCAGATAAGCTCTCTGAAGCAATGTCATGCCTGAATTGCCAGATAAACTCTCTGGTGCCATTGCCTGAATAAGCTCTCGGGCCACAGAACAAAATTATCTTGTTTATTTGTTAGATGAATGAATATCCAGTAAAGTTACAAACTTTAATTTTTTTTAAATCTGAACTGACCTGAGTTTTGAGCAGGGAACGGATTATAGTTGTATATAACAAGCCTTATGACGGGCTATAGTTACCTAACTCAATTTAAAAGCATTCATTTCAGTGATTACTCCTACACGGAGCCTTGTTAAAACAATAATGTATATTAGTATTATTAGATCCTTGTTATTTTGTACTTCCTGCACAATCGGTATATGATAAAACGTCCACACTATTGTTCCATGATAGAGGGGCTGATTAGCTATAAACCAGGGACCATAGCTCATTTCCCCCAAACAACCGAATTAGAACATTGTTTGCCATGACGAATATAATAATCAATGCCATTATATAGTTCTATTGATTACATTAATACTCTGAAAACCACAGTTGAGGTGAAGAACAAGATTTCCATCCAAAGTCCAGAAAGGGTATTTCTGAACAGATCTATGAAGTCGACTTAGATTTGAACATAAGTATTATTTACGAGAACAAGATTTGTAGGATTGGTAAAAGTCCACCGCTGTCCTCTTGTTATATCATTTTAAAAGAAGGAATCCCTTAAACAGTGGGGTGTCTGTGAACAAGATGGCCGCCCGTAGTATAATGTAATGCGCGGACAGGCTGGCGGTTACATTACTCACTCACTGGAATTCATACAATGGGATGGGGCCGATGTCCTTTAGTGGTCCTCAATAGAACTCTGGCAGCAAGCTCCATCTGTTCGGCCGTGTAAAATAACATATCTGCGAGGTCAATGTGGTGCCCGCTTGCCGTACTGACCGCCTTAAGGTCTAGTCATAAAAGTGTTTAGTAATATGTTTAAAAAAACAAAACAACCGATTTTGATTGAGAAGAGCGAAGACCTTATCATGATCGTGATGAGAGCATAATAATATTTTAAATCAGTTTAGCCGTCTTAGAGTTTCAACTCGTCCAGACAATGAAGCTTATTCAAACTGTTTGGGCTTTTGTCTACCGCTTTTTTTAAGCTGGATCCTACTACAAATTCTGATTCTCACAAACGCAACAATCTATCCATTTCTTCTTCTCCCAAGAGTTGCCCTAACATTCTCAAAATTACAACAATCTATCCATTTTATCTTCGCCAAGAGTTCACCTAACACTAACATTATCAAAATTACAACAATCTATCCATTTTATCTTCGCCAAGAGTTCACCTAACACTAACATTATCAAAATTACAACAATCTGTCAAGTTTATCTTCGTCAAGAGTTCCCCTATCATTTTCCACAAATTATTCAGATTCAGATTCACTATTTTAAGCGCCCCGAGTTCACACAAAACAAGACAGCGATAACCTCTAGAATGTAAACATGAAAAACAACTCCCCATAATAGTCTTGAATGTCACATTGTGTAAATGAACAACTTGATTTCTATAAAAAAATAATCCTGTTTTCTCACAATCTGAAGATAATTCGAGAAATTGTCATGCCAAACGTTTTCAATGATACAACAATCGTCGCTAGATAATATTAAACTTTAGCAAACATCTCCCGACACCCGACATTACTTCTCGGACTTCCGGTGTGAATAGTGTGTAGTATGTAGTGTTCAGAGCGTGGCCACAGGTTTAAGTTGGTCACTCTCTCCGTCAGTCGTTGCCGAGTGGAAATTCTTATTTTCCAAAAACCTAAAATAAAGACCTCGCCCGTTGTAGCGGTAATCTATAATGTGACGAGCGCTTCACCTCTTTAAAGTCGCCTTTACCTTCTGTTGCCTATAATTACCCCACACTTAACTCTGGCACTGCACACAAATGATGTACAAACATCGCCGTGCTAACAAATCATCTCGGATCACAAACATCGTGCGATGCCATGCGTGGTGCCGTGGCAGGGGGGCTACCAATTATGTATTTAATTAAGGCATGACGCATTTCCTCGCTTTAAAGACATTTCATTGAGTAATTGGTTTAACGAGCAAGACCTGAATGCATGGGGAAGGCCAACATGTCGGGTGAAACGAAGCTCTTTTTTTTTTCAACCTCTGACTCGCTTCAAGATGTTATATCACTTAATTAAAATGAAACCGATTGGTATTGGAGACACCGGATTTTAATAGAATTCTTCTAGTACGCCAACGCGTAATCTTTGAATCATTTTTATTTCATTTCTTATACGCCCAGGTCTTCGATGGAATTGATGTATTACTAATCACTGTATATACTAATTATCGTCCATTTTTGGACAATATGCATTATCACAAAAAAAAAAAAATATGTTAATCTCTTTTTATGATAAGTTACGTCCATCTCGTGATGGTCTTCTTTTTTAAGGTTTATATGTTTTTTATTGTTTATATTAATGGTAAGCTAAGTGCATCTAAATTAATGATGGGCTTCAAATCAATCAATCAATTTTTTTTTTTTGAAAATCGTCAATTACAAAATGGCAAGTAGGCTTTTTGTTTGTAAAAATATATAATTATTTCCTGCCTCAGTGGACACGTGACACCTTCAGTTGTATAAAGTACATTTTTTTTTCGAACACCACATCTTTATAAACTTCTAATTATATGAGCTACGTTCAAAAGATCATTAGCCGTTGAGGCAGGGGTCGTTGAACATGTCCGCATGCAATGGATGCAGAGCCTTCTATGATGAGAATAATTCATGTTTGACCTTTATTTGGTGTTACGAGGTTGAAAACCTTGTCATACTCAAATGGGGGAAACGCCTGGTATAACTTATAACAAAAAAAATTCGTTACAGTGAGAATTAAATGATCCACTAGGTTGAACTGGAAATGTCACAGGTCGCTGACACCTTTCAGGCTGGGCGTGCCAAAGCGGGTAACCGTGTCCAATCGACTCCCTTCGATGCTGTCACCATGTGATCATAAAGCCAGATACGCACCGCTTGCGGTAGGGAGTCATTGCATGCCACTCAAACACCCTGGACCAACTCCAGCAGAGATGTTATGTCAATGTATAGCTTACACTGTTGAAATAGTTCACCGCATTCTCAGTTTGGTATTTAACAAACAGCCCAGCCCCAAGGAGCTAAAATACTTTAAAAATATGTAAAAACTGCAGCAGTCTTCTAAGTACTCCGAAACAAACATAAACTAAAGATATATTACTTTTTAAAAAAAAATGCTTATTATCTACTTCTAGATACCAAACGGTTAGACTTTACCATCAACATAAATTCACTGTTCAGTAAAATAATTTTTAAAAATTAAAATTGGAACTAAAAAGATAAATGCGAATGAATTTCACATTGAATTCGTCCTTGATCCTTAAGATGGTATTTGACCAAGACTTTCAGGATGGCGCGTACACCACTTTCAACTACACTGGCCACCCTAGCCAGTCCAGCTATCCTTACACAATAGGATCCTCCGGTCATTCCTCCTCGTCCAGTTCGTACAACTTCACCCAGGCCACCACGACCCTCAAGCCCGCACCACGTGACAAGATCATGAACGACGGCGTGGCTTACATCTGTTTCGTCGTGGTCAAGTGCGCCATGTACGAAATCTGCAGCGCTTTTGGGATCGTGACCAACATCATCTGTCTCATCGTGTTCCGGAAACTGGGCTGCGATGAAACGGTCAACGTCACACTCATCGGGCTGACCATCGCCGATCTGGCTAGTCTAATCGACCTGTTCTGGATGGGCATCTGTTTCAACCCCCTGTTTACCTACTCCAGCGTCTACTTCGACACCCAGTCTGTCGCCTACCTGTCGGGCGGCTGGGTCAAGCTCTATCTGACCCGCGTCTCCGCTTGGATCACGGCTTTCGTGACGTTGGAGCGGTGCCTGTGCATAGCCATACCGTTGAAGATCAAGACCGTCATGACCCCCAGGAGGGCCACGATTTTCATCGCGCTGTCGTTCTTCTTCATGGGCCTGACGATGCCGCCAGTGTACTACACAACGCGCCTGGAGTGGCTGTGGTACCCTGACCGAAACAAAACCCTCCTGGGGCTCGCCTTCACCAAAGAGCGTGAGGAAATCTACAACAGCGTCATCTCCATCAACCTGGTCCTCACCTTCATAGCCTTCGCCACCATCATCAGCTGTACTCTGATACTAGTTCTGAATCTCGAGAAGAAGGCTGAATGGCGGAAGAAGTCTGTCTCGGCGCATAAACTCTCCTCCATGTCCGTGAAGGACCAGAAGGTCAGCAAAATGATCACGTTCATCGCTGTTCTGTTTCTCGTCTCGTTCTTTCCGGGCACCGTCTTGTTCATAGTCATGTTGATGATCCCAGAGTTCAACAAGGGCAAACTTTATCACAACCTGTTCACCACCACTTTCGCATTCTCCCACATCCTCGAGGGCGCCAACGCGTCCATCAACGTGTTTGTCTACCTCAAGATGAGTTCAAAGTTTAGAACCGTGTTTTTTGAAACGTTTAGTTTTAAAAAAGTGTCGAAACAACAGAATTGATCATGAACCGAAAGGGTTGGTTAAAAGGTGAAAATAAGGGCAAGCAGATAAAGTGGACTGCATCTGTTAGGAAATCTTTGGTTGGGGTGGTGGGAGGAGAGGGGGGACGACGACACAGTTTTCAATTTTCACAGTTTTAATACTCGGTAATAAATGACGCATACGTCTTTCCTGTATTTGTATCAGTAATAAATATAAGGTAATGTTTATGTTCATTACTAATACACTTAAGCACGCCCTGCCAGTTTATAGCTTTTACTTGAAATGGCTCTTTGGCGCAGAAGTACCAATTTTTTTAGAGGTTTATTTTTTTTTTCAGGAAACACCTTCATAGCTAATTCTTGAAAATGTTTACATTGTATATCCACTAATTGTATATCCACTATTTGTATATCCACTAGTTGTATGTCCAGCTCTATCTTAAGTATAGTTAACACACATCCAATGAATAGTGATGACTCCTCGACTTAACCATTGCAAAATAAATAAACCCAAAGTACTACTGGTGATCAATTTACATAACAACAGAACAGGCAATGTCATTGGCTGGCTAACCAGTAAATTAGACGTCTTGTGTGTATAACACATGCATAACAACGTAATGTTAGGACGTCTTGTGTGTATAACACATATATAACAACGTGATGTCAATACGTCTTGTAATAAATAGTTAACAAAGTAATGTGATGAAGTCGTGACGAATTTCGTGAGTTTTCTTTCAGGTCTATTTTGGTTTTAAATATTTCCTTACATGTTCTGTTTGAAACAATTGTGAAGAACTCACTCAAGTGTCATATACACTATGCGTTAAAATAACTGTGTATCCTTCTTACAGTTTTCATACTATCATGATTAAAGTCCCTTAGTACAAGCCAAACAAGACCATATGAACATTAAAATGGAGTGTTCACGGATATGATTTCCTTATTTATTTCATAACATTTAGTGAATAATTGCATTGAAATTATTGTGTAAAAACAACACTAAAATATATTTAATGAATAAACTTCCTTGTTCACTTTAGTTTATTGAACATTTCATGTCCCCACATGAGGCACTTTGATAATACACTTTGATCAGACACTTTGATAAGACACTTTGATAAGACAGTTTGATAAGACACTTTGATAAGACACTTTGATATCCTCAATTCGAGACAGGAACGATTTGTGAACTGAAAATAGTGGCCTACACCCCCCCCCACCCCCAAAAAATAGTACGCAGCAGGCAATATGTAGTCAAAAACATATTTTCTTAGAAGAATGTTAAAATGTGACGTTGTTAGTGGCACCTCAAAAGGAAAACGGAAGGCACAGTTTTGAGATTAATATGCAGCAGGTTGTCTAATGGGTTGGGATTCTCACCTAAATGATCACAGTAGACAACTCTAGCTCCCATATAATTAACTAATTATAAAAGTGTTGGATTGCGATAAATGCTTTAAAATAGATTCATTAATGGGAGTCGCTTAGTCACTTCCTTGTTTGGTCACGTGATGAGAGTAAGCCATCACTAGGCTGCAACACACAACAAAAGATACTTCATCAGTGCTTCCCCAATGTTATGTTAATTAAAAATTTTACCTTTCAAAATATTCTGGAATACACGCGTTTTTTAAATGAAATACATAAATGTGACAATAAATATACGTCAGTTATGATTAAAGGAAGAAAGTTATTTCAAGAAAAATTTGTGAGCGATATTCGATGGGAACTATCAATACTATTATCGGCAGGCTGTTGTTGAGCTCCGTGCGTGCCCATGACGTCATTTGCGTGTTTATACAATATTGGTGCAGGAGTCATTCCCCTTTGTTTATTTTATTGTTAATTTTCATTGGACGAAATGTCGGCATACCCATGACGTAATTTGCGTTTTTATTCAATATTGGTGCGGCGAAGGAATATTTAAATAACCGGTTGGAACAAGATTTCATGTGAATAATTAACGAAGGTCCACTTTGTCAAGCCATTGTCTTAAATTTTCTTTATCCTTAAGCGGAAACTTATGCAGACTTATACCGCTGTCCTTAACTTGACTGTTTGAACAGCCAAAAGCCGAACATTTCCTAGGCATCTTGAATTTCTAGTTGTAGTGCGTAACGGGCTACTGTTGTCAAGCACTAGTGTGTTGTATACAGCCTACCGGAAGTCTTACTCGTTTTTACTCTCATCACGTGACAAATAAATCGACTAAGCGACTCCCATTAGACACGAACAATTTGAATCCTATAATTTTTTTATGTAAACTTAATTTATACTTGTTTTAATTTTTTTTTTGTTATACTGATGAAGGCATTTGCCGAAACGTTAATTTGTGTATTATGTAAAAATTATTTTTTAAGCTAAACATATGGTAAATTTGGAGAGATGGCACCGTGGCCGCCATCTTGGTTGCTGCGACCCGCGAACTTATGTCCTAAACTAAATGTATCCCTAAACCTAACCTGAACCCTGAAATTATCCCTAGCCTGGGTTTTGACGCTATCGGAACCAGGGACAAAACACGCAAATGACGTCGGTGTGCTATCTCTCCAAATTAGCCTATATGTTGTTATATTGACACAAATTGTTCGTGTTGAATTAATTAATAGCACCTATAAGGCTCCTTTGAGGTCTAATTGCTTACGTAGCACTTTGAATACGAGTAACTAAAAACATAACCATTAGATGCCATTGGCAAGTCTTGGTTGGCCTTGATCGAATCGGTACTTTCGTTTATCAGTAGCCACTACCCTCGACACAGTAATTATAAAAGTCACAATTCTTGAAAAGCCTATTTACGTCCTCGATTCACTGCCTGCCAGACACGTCACGCCCCGCACAATTTGGAACGCACCGGTGCTGTCTCGTGCTAATCACTACAAAACTATTATTAAGCATTGAAAGGTGCGCAAAACGTCCACCGCCATGGGAATGTTGTTCTGATCGTCACATAGATAAAAACGCTGTTTTTTAACTGCTCCGGTACCGAGGAATGTTAAACTTGGCACTAGAGGCCGACCGAATTTCGGCTTCGGCTTCGGTTTCGGCGCCGAAAGTGGCCATTTTATCACTTTCGGCCAAGTTTCGGTTTCGGCCGAAACTGGAAAGTTAACTTTCGGCTTAATTTCGGTTTCGGCCGAAAGAGAAAAGTTAACTTTCGGTTTTTCTTCGGTTTCGGCCGAAATTGACTTAGACTTTCGGCCAT